CGGCACCGGCAGCGGCACCGGCAGCCGCCCGTATGCGCAGCTGTGTCCGCCCAGGCTTCACACCCATCCGCGCACCTGTCCACACCTGCAGTCCGGCGTAAGGGGGGGGTCTATACACACAGACACGGGGACCCGGGCACGTGAGCGCACGTATGTACGTGTGCATAAACAGACACACGACTGGACATACACATACGCGCGCACGCACTGACACCTACATACGTACACATGCATATGCACATACGTACACGCAGACATGTAAACACGGGCACAGGTATCTGTGCACGACCCGTACGCGTACACAGGCACGCGTATACACGTGCAGCGCACACACGCGCGCACACCTCTGTACGCGCATACGCGTGCCCCAGCCAAAAAGCAGGAGGGGGCTCGTTCCCAGAGGCTACCCGGCCGCAGAGGGTCTCTGGCAGGACCCCGTCCCCCCGGTGCTGTGCCGGGGCTACCCCTGCCCGCAGGGACCCCGCCGGGCTGATGAGTGTTGAACTTTAATGGCAGAACTGCATCGAAATCACCCCCTGTCGCCCCTCCCTCGCTGGCCTGCCGGTGGGAAGGGGGAACCCCCCCCCCGAACCCCCCCCCCAAAATCAGTTCTCTGCTCTCAGACCCCATCCGCCCGCGGGGCTTGGTGCGGGCAGGCTGGCAGAGGACGCTCGGACGCTGGGTTCCCTGGCGGGACAGTTTCTTCGTGCTCGGGGGGATGCCCTCCTGCTGGCACCCCATGGCGGCCGGCAGCGCCAGCCCCGCAGGGCCGGCTTGCGGGGGGCGTTGGCTCCGCGGGCGGCGCTGAGGGCGGCACTGCAGGCCTCCGCAAAGATGTCCCCGACGTTCTCCTGGTACCTGGCCGAGCACTCCAAGTAGGACACGGCGTGGACCTGCCGGGCCATGGCCTCTCCCTGCGGGGAGCCGCAGGGTCAGACCCCCCCTGTGGGGCCCGGCTCCCCCACCGCCCCATGCTGGGGTGCATCCCTGGCCCGTCGGAGGGGGTGGCACTCGCCTGCTGGTAGGAGATGGGCTCCAGGCGTCCCTCCTGCAGCTTGCGCAGCACCGCCCGGTCCCACCGCAGGACGGTCTTGCAGCCCACC